TGAAGCATTTGCCGAACCCAGTCACAGCGAAGGAACTCAGAGTTAACCTCTTCTAGCAAATGAATCTTTTCATTTAGAGGCCAATAAGTCTCAATTTCTAGCTACCTTTTGTCGATCCAGGCTGGACTTAGTGAGGCAAAACCAGAGTCTATAATCATGACCAGAAAAAGTTTTCTAAAGTTGAGATTATTTTTCTTTCCTCTTGTCTAAACAAATAAAGCCAGAAACAAACAAAAACAAAAAAAAACCAAATCTGAAAAAAAAAATTAGTCCACTTAACAAATAAAAGATTCAACAAAACAGCAGTTTCTCCTTCTGTGGGCAGAAAGCTGGAGATTTCTTATTTATTTATTTTTTTACAGCCAGTCTGTTGATTGAAATGGTTTCTCAAACTACAGTGCTGAAAAGATTTACAGTTTTTCAACAAGTCTTTATTTTGGAATGTGGTTTTGGTGAGGCTGAAACCATCCAATAATCAATGTAAAATGAGTGTGTGTGTGTGTGTGTGTGTGTATGTGTGTGTGTGTGTGTGTGTTGGGGTCAGGGAGGATTGTCTAGGACCTAGAAGAGAGCTGATGCTAGGCACATGAAAGCCGGCTTGGGTCTCCAGGGATGGAATTTGGGAAAGAGCCTGCACACGTCTGCTCCTGGGCTGTAAAGAAATACATTGTTAAGGACAACAGCACAGACAATGCCTTGAGCTCTGCCTGGAATTCAGGGCTGAGTTAGGCTGTGAAGTTACACTGTAGTGGCACTGTCCGTTTTGATGGCATTTCTGGGTCATTTGAAACTCAACCTTTAGCCAGTTCGTGGTGTATGGTTACAGAATTTATTTTCCCATTTATCAGCCCTCCCTTGATATTTTCTTTCTTTCCTGATAGCTTCCCAGGGAATTAATCCCCCCTTTTTTTTATATTCCCCAGTTCTGTTCTCCCCACAAATGCAGCCATTTTTTTTTGTTTGTTTGCTTGTTTGGTTTGTTTTCCTGCTTCTGCTGATCACTCATTTTCTTTCTTTCCCTTTCCTTCCTTTAGAGACGGAGGGAAATGAGAAGAATAGGAGGGGGATTTCCAAAGGGCTCCTCTCTGCATTATGAATTACTCTTACAAGGCAGGTGATTCTTAACTAATAACCAAGTTGTAAATTGCTACTAACTATCAGATATTTCTCATTTGTCAGCTTCCATTGATCTGATTAATATTCCACTCTTTAGTCTTCTCTCAAGCTGCACTTCCTATCAACTCTAGCCATGCGATGCAGATGGCAGACTATCACCCTGGGATAGGAGCCTGCCACTTCACGATCCTTTTCAGGACCTTGTTACCTATGCTGAGGCCCATGCTTTGGACTGTGGAGCAGTCTGCAAAGGGCAGAGGCTAGGGTGCAGGGCTGGAGCTGCCTGATGTATATGTATGTGCTCTCCTGTATGTGCAATTTGGAAAACTTTACTGAGGGATTTAAATGTATTGAAACAAACAAACGTTTCTTAGGTCTCGTGATAATTTTTAAAACTTCATATTGAAGGCTAGAAAACAAAGCAACTTTGTAAGAGCTGTCCTTAGACAATATGACTGGTAAAGAAAGAGGGGTTGGGTGTGGGGCTGGAAATCAAGGCCAAAGGAGCTCAAAGATGGGAACCCTGGTAAAACTCCAGCCTTTGAAAGGAGCTTGTATTTTCCCCAAATCCTATTGCATCCCACTGTAGTATCCAGAATGCATTTTTGGTTGTTGTTGTTGCAGTTATCAATAGCTGCTGTCTCAATACCTCTGGAGTTTTAATCTTAATTATATTATTAAGTGAAGTACCATTCTGTCAGGGCATTGAACATGATTTATGACGTCTGCCTATTAAAGGATCGATTGTGAATATCGCTACTATCATCTATCAATATTCTCAAGCCTGGGGTATTTCTCACACCGGTTATTTGTGGGAGCAGAATGACAGACTGCAGGAAAAGACTATTTCTTCTTCTCAGAGCTGGCTTTCCAGGTGCAGCAGGGAGAGAGAGAGGTGTGGAGCGCCAGCAGCCTTTCTCAATTCTTACAGCATCTTACACCTAGGGAGAATGTAAAGATTTTTTTCCCCCACTCCTTAATGCCTAAGCCAGTGAATTCTCCCTGGGGCTAGAAGAGGAAGAGAAGACAAGAGCCTTTTTTTTTGGGGGGGGGGGGGAGTAACGCCTGCAGGTCGATGTGGGAGGAGGATAGCTTTTCCTAGCTGCCAGGTGACTTGCTATGAGACACGTAGGGGGGAAAAAACCAGCAACGAGCAGCCCTTTATGGGAGGATGGATGGCTGGGTGCCGGGGGCAGATTTTATTTTATTTTATTTTTTTCTGAAACAGATGCCTGGCCCTGCCTATGCCCGCGGACTCGGAGGTGTTCAATTTAGGGAATCAATAAAAGTTCTCTGCTCCTTAGCGCCCCTGCTTCCACCTGCGCCTGCTGCCTAGGCAAAGGTGGAGGCGGGTGCGAACGACGCAGTGTCTGGGCCTGCTGGAGCCGGCCATCTCGGGTCTTTTGTCTGCAGACAGCGCAGCGCCTGGTGTTTTCCGCACTCACACTCAGGGGGCAAGCCACCGGCCCCTGGTTACCAGCTAGTCTCGGCCCTCAGCTTTGGGGGGGGGGGATGGGAGAAACAGAGGGAGAGTAAAGGAAAACTCTCCCCGTCTCCTGTGGCTGGAGGCTAGAGAAGCCCAGCAGGAGGGGGCCTGGAAAGAACTATGTATGTTGCCAGGGGCAGTCAGGACAGTGCCCCGTGTCTTGTCCTAGCCCCTTGTTTCTTGGGTCCTCGCTTGGGCTTGGGCACCGACTAGGAGGCCCCTCTCTGGAGGGTCCTGGTACTCAGTCATGTGCCCCCTGACACTCAAGGTAAGCTTATCTAGCTTGGAGCAGCGCAGTGGTAGGAACCCAGGATGTGGACCTGGCCTTTGGGTGATTAGCGGTTGCCACCTTCCCACACATAAACACCACAGCCATCACCAGTCTTTCCTCTTAGGATTCCAGCGTGAAGAAACAAGAAAACAGCTCTGCCTTTCCAACTCCCAGATCGGAGGCCTGGAGGCCCAGGAGCCACATTGTCAGTAAGGAATTGGGGTTCCAGGTGGACATCCCTTGGGTCTGGATCTTCTTGGATGCCTCAACAGCACTCTGCTACCCTCTGATGGGCACTGTATCGAGCCCAGGAGCCTTGACTCCCTCCCCCTCTTAGCCAAGTAGCTTTGCCTTTCTGGCTGCCTTGCTTCAAGGCTTTTTTATTTTTACTGATTTTTTTCTTGGTCGGGACCATTTGTTGTCAAGTCTAGAAACCACCCTGGATGAGGGCAGTGATGGGCACATTGAGAGAGTAGTCCACTCTCTCATTAAAGTAACTGTTCATCATTCTCAAATTAGGCACATCTGCCTTCTTTTGTAAGCAACCACCACTGGCCTACACCCATGGCAGACCAGCCAGCATTCAGGCAAGTCCTCAGGCCTGTCTTTAATCTGTCTTAGGGGAGGAGGCATTCGGTGTCCCTGGTCCTTCAGTCCTAAACTTGCAAACTTCACCAGTGAGGTTCTGGCAAGAAGGTGGAGGCCTATAGGCTCTTTCTCAGTATGTTGGTGCCAACCTGGGCCGCCACAGTGGAGGTCACAGGAGCCTGCAGCAAGTCTCAGCAGGTCCCCAAGGTGCCCTCCTTGGGTCAGCCCCAGGGAAGGAGAGTTTTAGGTAAATAAGAACTCTTGGAAATGGGGCAATGGAATGTCCGCTCCAATGGGAGCCTGTGTGAGAAGAACCCGAACCTAGGTCCCAGTCTAATCTCCCTTATCCAAAGGACAAGTGGCAAAGAATGGGAGGGACAAGGATGGGGTCATTGAGGAGTAATAGAGACCAAGACCCTAGGAACATTGGAATGAAGTTCTTTTCTTTCAGATTCCTTAGGTAAGCTTACAGTGGGCCCTACTGGAGAGTAAACTACAGGAAATAGAAGATACAGGCACAAAGTCTATGTTACCACATTTTAATTATAGTTCGACCTCAAGAAACAAACAAAAAAGCCCTGACTGACCATTCTTTTTATTGTCACACATAGAATGCCATTATTATTTCAAACGACCTTTCAACTCCTGTGGCTCCTGGGGCAGCTGCAAGAGCTACATCCAGGACAGTCACCATCTGCGCTGTAGCTCGAACTTAACCAAGTTCACCCCCTCCTCCCCTCTTGCCTCTCTCTCTTACTTTTTGCCCGGTTAATGAATATTCTTGGGGTTAGGTTCCTTTAAAAAAAAATCACAAATTTTGTTAATACAGACCATCTTTGCCCCATTGATCTTTGTTTTGTGGTGCAAAGAACCCAGGCTTAGGGCTGGCAGTGCACTTCCCAGCCTGCCTTGTAACTTAATCGTTAAAACCTTGCCCTAATTTTTAGGCAATAGATTTGGAGTCAGTCAGTCAGGAAGAAACAAACCAATGGCCCAAAGAGCTGGATGCAGGCTTTAGACGGATCGAAAATCAACGGGTCGGAAGAAGGATGGAATTTGTATGATGCTCTAGATCTTTAAGGCCTTAGTTCTCAAGAGCGTGCCGCTGCAGTTCTTTGCTCAGTCTCTTTGGACTACTGCTCGCCCGGGCTGCCCTTCCCTGTACTGAGGTACGCTACACACCAAGCTTTTCCCAGCCCCCGGGAGGAGGCGCTGGTGGCCGGGTCGCCTCTCGTCCCTCCAAGCCAGAGTGCTGGCAGCCCCATTCACAAAGCCCCTCTTGCAAAGGGGACACACACACACACTCACGCCGCCCCACACGCACTGCTTGGAGGGCAGTTTGATCTTGTCTCATTGGCGTCTCCGGCCTGAAAAGAAAATCGTTTGGGTAAACAGCCAAGCTTCCAGGCTTAACGCCCCGCTCCTGCCTCCGCCCCTCTGTCCCCTCCCGCCTCCCCCACTCCCCTTCAACCCCACCCGCCACCCACACTCTGCTCCGTTGCCGGGCCTCCAGCGAGCTCCGCGCGTCCAGGTCCGGGAGGGAGCCAAGGGCTCCCTGGTTCAAAGGGCCGCAGCCCTAGGGGATGCCCTCCTCGTGTGCCCTGGGGTGCAGAAGCAGACTGCAGGGCGGTGGGACCAGCCTGGGCCACGGTAGGAACCTCGAAACCTCATGCACCCCCAAATAGCTGGTCCCAAGGGAGGGCACAGGGGAGTTCCGAGGCCGGTGGGGACATTTTGTCAAGATCTAGCACAGGCCGGGCAGGCCACCGCTGGCCGCTGCACCTGCAGGCTGCTCCATAGCCTGGTTGGGTCATTCTGGTTCCCACCACTTCATCACAAGCGTTTGTCCATTTGTGTGCCCTAATAGGGGAGCGAGGCTTGAGTTTCTTTGGCCGCCCTGTGTTGCATAGACCCCTCGGTTAACGATAACCAGGCCCCCACAGCCTTCAAAGGGCCTGCGTATCGGAGTAGCTTTGAATCTAGTATTAAGCGATTTCTAGTGTTTGATCCTTCCCAAAGGAGAGCTCTTCACGCAACGTAACTGTAAACATGATTGTTATTAATATGGCAAAAAGTGGTGCTTAAAAGGATGCTGGATTCTCTCTAGCTCACACGTTTAAGCAGAAAGAACCTTGAAATCGGAAATACGGATGGGATTATTAGTCCTGATTCGCCCTTACCCGGGGTTTTAACGAAAAATGTCCCTCTCCTGCGTAGTTCTGGCTCTCCCTCCGCCTTCTCCCAGTCGCTGGCTCGCTCTAGTCCAGGAGTCATTAGCAACCCCCTCTGGCTGCATGTTTTGCGTCGGTGAAACATTGTGCCATAGTTGTAACACTAACTCTTGCACCGCATCTTGTGGTAGGAAGGGTAATAGCAAGAAAGTAATTTTTCATCCTCAGGCTCTATTCTGTGTGTGTGGCGGTGTGTGTGGGGGGGAGAATCTTAGAAAATATGAATGGGGGTGGAAGAGAAAGAAACGGAGAGAAAGAGGGAGAAAAGTCTTCCAGTTTAGAACCTCCTGCAAACCGAAGGCCTGAAGCTTGAAGTGTGGTCTGCTCCGTGACTTCCTTCTGTTTTGCTCTGCTCCTTACTGCCACCCCTCAGTGGAAGCTAGGGTCCTCTCTGGAGTTGTCACTTAGCTCCCAGAATCTGTCAGCAGCCATCTCCTCCACAAGTTGGCATTCTCAGCTCAGAGGCTGGAACTCCCAAGAACCTGGCCACCCCTCTACAGCTGGCCACTTGAGGGACTGCTCCTTAAGTCCTGCTAGGAATCTGAGACCTCTCTCTAGTACGGTCTCTCAGGAACCTGTCGTAACCTAGTGAAAAAGGGACAAGCCGGCCAGAAAACTAAACTGGCTATTTTCCTGGCTCAGCCCTATAATTTCTGAGTGGGAGCCCTAAGAGCCTTCTAATCTGTCTTGTGGAGCAGAGAGGCACAGCGCTCTCTCCATCTCCTCCCTGACTGCCCAGGGACCTCCCTACCAACTCCAAAGTTTCTTAAAAGGGTCTCTAAGTTTGCTTTGTTCAAGCAGAAAAATACAGGGGTGTAGATGCCACCACCTTCTTTTTCTTCATGCTCTTCCTCTGTCCACTGTCCCCAGGGTAGCCATCATTTTACCCAGTTAATCTATTGAATGTCCTGAACACACACACAGAGTGTGTGAGAGAGTGACACACACACACACACACACAAAGAGAGAGAGAGACAGAGAGAGAGAGAGAGAGAGACAGAGAGAGAGACAGACAGAGAGAGAGAGAGAGAGAGAGAGAGAGGGGGGGGGTTAAACAAATAAGTAAAAACTACGTTAAATGGAACTTCCATGTCCTTTTCAAAATAAATGAAACGAACCACACAGCTCTTCACTGGGCCATAAGCAAGATGCTCCACATCCAAAACTATGTTCAAAGTGGAAAATAGGTTGTTTCTTATTGCACTTGGCTCTGGCATGGGAAGAAAAATGAAACAAAGACTGACCATAGTGTATCAGTGAGTTTATTTTTTTCTATATATTTTATAGTCTAGTCCATTGGATCTATTTAAGGGCGGATAAAGATCTTAATTGACCAACTGGTTGAAAAGGAGGCAAATAGCAAGTTGCACGTTGGAGGAGCAATGTTTTGTAACTCATAATTTCTGGCAGCTGCTGCTTTCGTTGGTTGAAAGGTGGACACGCTGAGGATTGCATTTAGAGGCTCCCCCCCCCTTGTTTTTTGTAAGGCTGAGCCCCCTCTCTGATACTCCACGGGTCACAATGAATGGATTTCTGTGAAAATCATAACTGGGAGGTTCTAACTACATAGGCACCCGCTTCGTGGGAGACATTTGCATTGGCCACAGCCGAATGACTCAAAACACAGCGCAGCCCGAACTGGTGGCCTCCTGACAACGTGTCTAATTCATTTTCTCTTTCCTCCGAAAGCAGTTTTACAGCTTAGGTGACTACCCTTGTTTAGTGAAATTGTGCTTCTGTAGTTTTCTTCCATTGTGCGGTTACTTTGAGCTATGTGGGTCACGGATGATTTTTTTATTATTATTTATTTATGCCAGTGGGGAAGGAGGCCTAGGCATTTAGGCTTCTTTGGAGATGTTAATAAAGGAAATAGAACGGGTGAAGATCAAGTTAGGTTGCGGGAGAGTGGAAGGCTTAGCCGCGTTATTCCAATTTCCGAAGCGAGGTGGCGCTCCAGGGCACTGCACAGCGCCCTGGTTTCCGCAGCCGAGCAGTGCAGCCTTAGCTCTGAAAAGCCTCAGTACCCGAGCGCTGTAAACGCAGAGTTCCTTAACCTTCGATGCAGAGTCCAAGGGTCCTCAGACCTTCCTAGGCCTAGTAGCCTACACGGGAAAAAAAAAAAAAAAAGACCCGAGGTCACTACTTGGGACAAGGTTGGTGGCAACAGTGTGGCCAACCCCGCCAGGGCTTGCTCAGCGTTGGGTCTTCCCTGGTCTAGTGGGTCAGAGATGCTGCAGAGGGACCTCGGCCCAGTCCCGCCCTGTCACCCTTCCCAGCTGAGGCTGGCTGCCTAAAACTCACAGAAGTTTCACATATCCCGCTTTAGTTAATTCTTTGGCCTCAGCCCCGACCCCAGTCAAAAGAAGAAGTCGAAGAAAGAGCAGGAGGAGGAGGAATAAGAATAAAAGGCGCGCGCGGGGGGGGGGGATCTGATGCACCCAAGTTTTGTCCCCCAAACTAGGTCTTTTTTTTTCTTCTGGTTTCCCTTTTTCTCTTTATTGCCATTTTCTTACTTCTCTCTTGCTCCTTTTTGTTTTGTTTTGTTTTAGTTTTGTGTTTTTTCTTTCCTTCTACTTTCGTTATATTTGCACCCTCATTGGAGGGAGGGAAAGAGAGAGAGAGAGAGAGAGAGAGAGAGAGAGAGTCTGAATGCCGAATAAATAACAGTAAAATTGAAGAAACAATTTCGGTTTATTGCATGGATTGAAATCCACGCCGCTCGTTTCCACGTCGCCTTTGCATTTCCCGGGGGCTCAGGCTCATAAGCTCCAAGTTAAAGACGAGGGAGAGAAAATGTCCCGTAGTCTCCTAGACCCCTTTTGGAAACTATGCTGGAAATAATAGTGGCGGTAATCTTTCTGGGCAAACAGTTCTGTACTATGGGAGCGTCGCCGTGGTTTTGCAACAGGACCAAAGCACGCACGTGCAGAATTTGTTCTCTTGGTCTGAGGCCCTCTTTTTAGCTTCTGGTTCTACTGGGTCCCCTGACTCGCGAGGCATCCCTTCTTCCCTGCCCTTCCAGTACTGTAGCCTTCAGGCTGCCGGGGAAACTTTGCTCTCTGCTTACCCGGTTGCATGCTTATAGCTTAGCTATGCTCCGGCTAATTCCCCCCATCTCACCCGTTTCCCTTGAAGTTTTTAAAGTAGAAATGGTGGGATGTTGAAACCAAGTTTAGGAGTCTACAGAAGCTCAGAGGGTCAGCCATTAGGAATGTTAACTGGCGACCAAGAATTATAAGCATGATCGGAAAGTCTCTTCCAATTCATTTCTTCAAGTATTTATTTGTGCTTAAGTGATGAAAGGGGACAGTTGTGAAATAGACAGCTTTTAAAAATGATGAAGTCAGATGAGCCTTTAACCTGTCGATCGCTATAAATCAACTTTGAAAAAGACAAATGGGGAATGTTATTTTGGGCACCTACCTCCCAGCATTTGCTGTGCCCGGGTTGGCTTGTCAGCAACTGGGCTTAGTGAGGTCTGAAAAATGACAGTGGGGAGTGTGTGTGTGTGTGGGGGGGGTCAAGCATCAGAAAGATCCAAAGGGGGACTTGTTGGTCAGCCTGTCCTCTCATACTTGCATACCAGTAGTGGATTTGGCTACTGTAATGTGCCCAGGCCAGGCAGATGGTAAGCTTTAGGACTGCGGGGAATTCAGAGAGGCTCTAGGGACTGAATGTCACAGTATAGAGGGGACCTCCCGTCCAGCTCTGTCTGTCAGGGTTTGGAAGACTCCCTTTGGAAATGGTGGTTGTGGGTTGTTGTTTTAGCTTCTCTCTCTCTCTCTCTCTCTCTCTCTCTCTCTCTCTCTCTCTCTGTGTGTGTGTGTGTGTGTGTGTGCCCACATGCGCCCGCTTACAACTAAATTTTCTTGGCCTGAGAGGGGACCTAGTGTCCTCTAAGACACTGGCTGGTCTTCACAAGAAAAGGGAGGGGGGGACCTGTGAAACTACAACAGGTAGAAGATGACAGGTGTGTGCAGGTTTGAGGAGAACCATGAAGGTTCCTTATTCTGACTTCTGTAAACGGCAAAACAAAACGATGTGATGTTTTACAATCAAGTTTGCATGAGCTTTTAAAGGATGCAGTTCTCCACAACTTCCATTTCAGCCACTGAAGGCCTGGGGTGTTGGGTTGAGAGAGAATTGAGCTTAAGGGAGTCGGTCTGGTCTTCTTGCCAGGGACTTCTACCCTATCCACGCTTTCCATCGTGCTGCCCCGGATTCGGGTTCATCCCCGAGTCAGAAAGTCTGCCTTAGCTTCTGGCCTCTGGGTTTGCTTGTCTTTTCCCCTCCAAATACTTCCGGGGCACGGATATTCATTCTCACGGTCTTGTACCTCCGGTGGTTGTTGGAGAAACACTGGCAACCAAAAGAACAGAAGGGCGGCCCGAACGCTAGCAACAGGTCCATGCTGAGATT